GGGGGGGGCGGTGACTAGTAAAAGGGGGGCGGTGAATAGCGATTGAGTTTTTTCAATTGTCTTAGTAATTGATTGCTCACAATTTTGACCCACAGTATAGAAACTGTTGACCGATAGTCAGGTTGATCAACTGTTCACCATATAAACTAATATGGGTCATAAGCATACAAGAAAGAAAATAAAATCAACTACTACAAAGATTTTAGAGAAAATTTGAAATACAAACCTTTAGAAATAGATGGTCCAGTGGGTGGTTCTTCGAGTTGTGTTATCATGCTATATTTCTTTTTCAGTTTACTTATTTCCTTTTAACACTAAGTTTTTCAATTGTTTTAGTAATTGATTGCTCACACTTTTGAACCACACTAAAGAAACTGTTGACCGATGGTCCAGTTGACCGACTGTTCACCATATAAACTAAGTATGGGTCATAAGCATCCAAGAAAGAAAATAAAATCAACTACTACAAAGATTTAAAGAAAATTGGAATTACAAACCTTTAGAAATATATGAAAGTTGTATTAATTGGAATTTTGATACATTACAATCACCTTCATTTCCAAAATCGGAAACTATTCCTGGTATTTAAACAAATATCTAACCTATACTAATTTTTCTTGGTGAAGTGGTTATGGAGGAAAGGTGGTGTGATGGTTGAAGAGAAGTGGGAGTTAAAGAGCATATGAACCTAAATAGCCAAAATTGTGCCAGACGAAGACAAGAAGTGCAATGTGGCCACTTATAAAGGGATTGGATCATTAGGAGGTTTTTGAAGAGAGACCAAACCTAATATTAGGAGAGGTTTTGTTGAAGATGACAACAACTAAAGTAAATCATCCAAGAGAGTAAACCATTTGCTCCGAGAGCTCAGCGCCCACAACTCGAACATATCTTTGTAACTGGTTTTCAATTAAGTTCCTCTGATTGGGATCAAATGCATGACGTATGTCCTTCAAACAAAGACATAAATAACAAGACGTGTAAGGAAACCATATATAACCCAAATAGATACTGAAAGGAGTTCCTGTGAAATGCCCAACTGGTGGCCAATCAGGTCACAAATTTATCTTCATCCATAATCTTCAATAATCTAAAATTCAAAATTAAATTAGAGATATTCGAAAGGAGTTTAAATTTTAATGTTGTATAATGTATTAAACTCTAAAAAAAAATAGCATGTTTTAAAAATAAAGAAAACCCTCTCAAGGTTCGGTTCTACCTTAAGTTTTCCCATAAACAAAAGACATTTTAATTTCGATATTAATTTTTTTTTCTTTTTCCCTCTTCTTTTAGGGGATGGGGGTACTATAATACCACAACTTCAGGGTGGGTTTTGTATTCATCAAATGTACTACATAAGTAAAATATTATTAATGGTGATTTTTTATTTAAATTTTGTATTGACAAATGTGAGCAGAGTAAAGAAGGAATGGTGAGATGAATGAATAGTATATCTTCTGATGGGTGGATGAGATATTGAAAATGTATCAAATAGCACACTTATATTTCAATATACTTATTCTTGCTGCAGTTAACAAATTATGCACAGCCCCTCTTATTAATTTTATGGAGTGGGAAAAAAGAGAGTTATGAGAGACTTCCACACACCTTGTATCTCAGACGAGCTCCTCTCACTCCAATCAAAATATTATCAACACTGCCATCTTCCAAAGACACATTAGCTTCTGATTCTGATTCTGATTCTGATTCATCCACAGAACAATCAGAATCGAGTTCCATCTCCTTGTCATTCACAGTTACATCATTTGGGATCTCTTCAGCACAATTACTATGTTGCTCATCCATTTCACTAACACCAATATCTGGGGGCAAACACTCTCCATTTCGTTCAGTTGCATAATCAGAGAAAACCACATATTTCCTTCTGTCTAGAAGTGGTTTTGCAATATTATATGGTACCCACCTGGAAAAAGGAAATATTCCTAGTTAGAAACAGTAGCTAAAAGGACACAAATGTGAACGTCCAGGTGGAACTCATCAAACAATATAAATTCTGGTCATTAAAATTTCTAAAATAACTCGTACGTAGTTAATTTTAGTAGTCCATGACACCAACACAGGTGCACGCAAGGAAATCGAGAACACAAAATACACAATGCACGAATATCGCTGTTAGCTTATTAGGACGCCTTCTCATCTCTGCCATCTGGAGTTAGTTCTCAGAAACTCGAGAGGTTAAGGAACAAGGGGGAAAACAAGCATGCATGGGTTCAATAAGAGTCGTAGACTGCATCAAGAAAAGATGAATTTCTTCTCTACTGATTGAACAAGGAGTGAATTTAGTTTACGATGTTCTATCTAGTTGCTTTATATGTCAACTTTGAAAGAATGTGGTACCACACTTGAGCTATTCACAATATCCTTTACGGAATTTGTATCTGGCAAATATTACATAGGTAATGATACGCATGTGAATCTAAGCAAACACATCTTCACATAGCACATAGGTAAATTTACCAGAAACAGAAAGATTATAATAAATGTCACCATAATTCTTCACCAGCAATGTTCTTTTATATCATAAGCATTTAATGATACAGGCCCAACCTTAGATATCAACACTCCGAGAGATTTTTCACCATCATGTATGACCTAATTCATGGAGGTAGTAGACAAAATTTCTCACATTTTATGATGGCTGAGTTTCAAATTTGAGTTACAGAACAGGGAAAATATTTGTACACAGGTTATACAAATTGAGAATATTCCTGCCATGAGATCCCTTTCTTTTTTTCTTTCACCTCCCCAACTCCCTAATTGTTAAATTTTGACAGACAATAATAGTAGATCCAGCACCTAGGGTTCATTACTGATTGCAACTAAGAAAATTTTCACATCATCATTTATTATCACAGCAGATACCTTATATTTTTTAATTGCATAAGCAAAGTTTGTGATAACTTACTGGAACCGGAGAGGGCACAGGAGCTCAGAAGGCCGATATGCAGCTTTGTATCTCATCTTGCTGCACGAGTGAATGTAATATCCCAGATAATAAAACTCAAGACTTGGACAGTGTAACTGGTTCTCACTAACCCACCTAATTTCCTCCAGAGCCGAAAATTTTCCAAGTGACAAGAAGGCGAAGTCAGGGTCCCAGAATAAATATTTGCTCGACAGACACTTTGGAAGTATATCAATAACACCAACCGCAATTAGATTACCATCCACCACATACTGTTGATGGAAAGATCCAAAGCCACATGGAGGGGTTGTTTGATCACCATTTGCCGGAACATGAATTAAAGGAGTGTCGACCAAGAATCTTTTGTACGAGCTTTCGGTGACGTGATCAGGTGCATCGTTATGCACCTTAATCTGATACTTTCTGTATAAAGAATATTCTTCATCATCAAAGCTGGATCTTTTCAAACGAACCTCGAACCTCCGACACAGGCTTTGAAGTCTTTCAGAACATTTTTTAAAACTTTCGTCATTACCACCAGTTCTTGTGCTAGAAATAATTGATTTTATCTCAATTCCAGATTCAACTACAGCTGTTTGTTTTAAAGCAGAATAGAAATTTATGTGTCCGATGCAGGCTCTGACTAACAAACCATGTGATTCTATCAGCTGTTTGGAATGTTTCGTCAAAATTTCTGCAATTGCTTTAGGAGAAAGGTCCTCAGTTCCTTCAAGAACATGTTGCGATGATTCATTCATGTGGTCAGCATCTCTTTTTAACCGTTTTAGAGCAGCTGCAATCTGGAAAGCAATATTGCAGGAGAATAAAAGTTCCTCAGACTTTTCTGCTCCCAACTTTCTTTTAGCTGGAGAGACTCTTTTGATGGAAGCCTTTGGCAACTGTATGTCAGAGGAAAATTTTCCACCTTTTATGTATTGTTGTACTGTGGCATCAAGGTTGTGGGACAAGAAATGCATAATCTCATCTGTTTTCTCGATGCTGGTGTGTTCTCTAGAAGTATGCGGCTCATCCATAATCTTGTCTGTTTCTTTCGCATCTAGTTGGCCATTTAGAAACCTACAAATGATACATGCTGCAGTTAGTTTTTTACTCATCAGAGTTTGTTCAGTCTTCAGAGTAGGAGTCATCATGCGGTAAAAAGTGGATTAGCCTAAAAAATGATATCAGAGAAAAAGAAAATAAATTTCCTTAGAACTTGAAAGAAAAGAAACTTATAAAAAAAAAAGTAAACATGTAAAATTAATGCTTGCAGGCCATGTAAATAGTTTAGCCACTTATGTAGCTTAGGCATCAAATAAACACGTTGACATGCACCTATATACAAGGGAGAACTATAGGATTCTCAAATGTCCACACACACAGCCAAAACACTTTCATGCCCAATGTTGCCTATTCTATAATTCATATGTAGCAGACTTGAAGTTAAATGTAACATCTCTTGAGAATATGATGAGTTTATAAACATGCCTTTTCATCCTTTTAGAAACTCGAATTTGTTCTTTAGAAGGAACAAAGTCACTAGCTTTCAGACGAATAGTATATGAGGGGCAGCATGTCTTCTCCATATCTGGCTTGTACAAGAAACAGCCAGATCTTCTCCAGCCTCTGTCAAGGAGAGCTACAAAGAAGACACAACATAATTCTTAAAAAACACACTCACAAAAAAGGAACGGAATTCTTTTCGTTTATTTTGTGTCTATTTACTAGAGTGAACAAACTATAGACAAGCAGATATAGTTGTTTAACAAGTTTATATAGATAATAACTATAACAAGATTTCGTACAATGCATTCATTTCCAGGAGGCAATCGAAACTCAAAGACAGGAAGGATGTTTATAAATATTTCTCAAAGTATGAAAGTAATTGCAGCTCCGCAGGGAAGAGAACACACAATATAAGCAAATGCAAAATACAAAAACTTATTGAAACAATTTGACAACCACAAAGTTTACGAGTTATGTGGACAAGATTATCAAAATATAGATTACTTTGAGGGAAAAGAACTTTATTTAATATATGCCAAAATTGCAAGAATACTGACCTTGATAGTCATCAACTCTTAAACTATGAGCCCACAGCCCTGAAAAAGAAAACAATGAAGATTTAGGATACTAAACATGCCTTTGTTCAAATTTCATTTAGGCGGCTAGCAGACAATCTCAAGGTAACATAAGAAATAAGAGTGTGTAGTGAAGGAGCGATTACACTTCATCATATTGATATGAGTTCTACAAAACTCAAGGTTAAATATATTATTAATACGGCTAATAGGAATATCGATATGCTTAGCTACTCATAAAATATGCATCATTCATTTGTAAGTATAAATCTGGTGCAGTTTCTTAGGGCATGATTGGATATGAGTTATGATCCAACTCAACCTGTTATAACCGGTTGAAACATTTCGTATCTAATCACCTAATTCAAAATCCAACTCAACCAACTCTCCTTCTTTTTATAAATGTAATTAAATAATACGAATCAATCATTCTCACATATCACATCAACTTTAATTCACTATTCATCAACTCACACAATTTTAACTACCTATTACTCCCTATAATCTTTCTTACTTATACATCATATCAACTTTAATCATTACATTTTAAATATTATTTAATTTTAAATCTACTTTATTCAAAATAACACACTTTAACTCACTTTGATTCACCAAGTTGGATCATAACCGGTTTAATCCATATCGAATCGCCCCCTAAGTAGGAACTGGACATGCACGTACAAACAAAATGAGACTTTAGCATGCACGTAAAAACTAAATGCATCCCTTCCTCAGAAAAATCTTTTTCGCACAGTTTAAGGAAAAGCTTTAGGCAAGAGTAAAAGGGCAATTTTGCTTCTACTTCTGGAGGCAAAATACAACTAGGATATCCGTGATGAAAATTTACAAATGATATGACACCATAACTATAAAGTTACAAGCCATACACTTTAACTAAAGTTGAAATGAATGTTTTAGAAGAGGCAGGAAACATATATTATCACAGACGTGGAGGTAATTTTTTTTTTTCTGATCCATTTCAATGAAAAAAAGCGCAAAAATATATCAATAAATTGGAAAACGTTTAGAAATAGGATTTTTAAAAGCAATCAATGCTACATAACGTACGGAACGTCACAGCATCTACATATGCAATCTCGTCCATCCAATAGTAAATAAGCAACCTCTACAATTCTGTCCAAAATACATGTTTCCCTTGAAATTTGAACACAGTTGTTGATCACTATTTCTATCCTCTATTCAGCGGCAATGAATCTACCTCAGTTTCATAATACAAATTAGCATGTAGGGAAATTTTATGAATAGATTCCATAAAAACTATTTTCAGATTCCTTTCCTTGCTAAATATCCTAAATTTATCACAATCTGACCAATATTTTAAGCTGTTCTACATGTATTATTTTTCTAATCATAATGACGACAACTGGAGTCTTCATCACTGAAAAAGTCAAGATGTACGAACTTAGTAAGTCTAAAAATATGATTAATTCCCTTTCTGAAAAGCAAGTCACTAGTGGAACTATAAGCTCGCATGTCCTCTCATATCATACTCATGATTTGAAATGAATCTCAGTTTCATCATTGCTGAAAGGAATATACATTAGACAAAGGAAGCAGTGCAAGGGTAAAGACAGAAGCCTGTAAGTTTCCATAGTCCAAATTAATCTTGAGCATATATTCAAAGTAATTTATCAAATCAAACCTTTATCAGGTGATAATTTTCAAAAAGCTTCAAAGTGATCTGCTTGTGTTGTAAATTTCTGACTAGCAATTGGTAGCTCAAGATTTTTCCCTCAAATAGTTGATATTTTTATTAAACTTCACCCAAATTCACATATGACCACAAAAATTCAGAAATCAAATCATTCCTACGGCCGAGATAAAGACTGCGATTTTGCATAGTCAAAGTAACCATTCAGGCCTTATTTCCAATCATCAAATCAATCTCAGCACAACCAATACCAGTTTCCATTCATAGTTGCTAAATTCATAGGGCGTGATTGGATATGAGTTCTGATCCAACTCAACTCAACTGGTTATAACCATTTGAGTCATTTCATATCCAATCACCTAATTCAAAATCCAAAAATCCAAGTCAACTGAACTCTCCTACTTTTATAAATATAATTAAATAAAATCAATTAATCATTCTCATACATCACATTAACTTTAATTTATTATTTATACACTTACATAATATATTTATTATTTATACACTTACATAATTTTAACGGCATATCACTCCTATAATCTTTCTCTTACTTTTAAATCATAACTTTAATTATTATTATCATCTGATTTTTTTGAAACATTTTATGTGCCAATTTTGAATGCAACATGCAAAAAACAACAACAACAACAATAACAACAAAACAACTAAAAACATGAATCGTATGAGCAAAGTGGAAACTAACCATGAGAAATACTAGTCCGCCCACCAGATTTACAGTATCCACAGGTACTTTTCCGGCGGCCCACGTCCACCACCTCGCTTTCAAGTCTCCCTTCATCACCGCCGCCGCCGTCGGCGGTACCACTGGTACTCGCTTCGTTCCTCATCTTCTTGGCATCCGCCATCACCGATCTTCACAATGATTCGATTTTAATGTGGTACAAATAAGATATCAAAACTTATTAAGCTTCTATACGGAGAAGAAAATTAGAAAGCATCTTGCTATTTTACATTTTAGGTCTTGATACTAATACGCGTACAAATGTAATAAAAAAAAGATTAATAGGTTACATTATTTAATATTTATATATTTATTTATTCTATCAATTCTTAATTATATTTTATTATTAAAAGGAGACAGCTATTTTCATCCCACTTTAAGACGGAATAAGTTTTTTTGTTTCGCGCCAAATAGTAAGTTAACTTTTTCATCTCATAAAGTGTGAAAGAAATTATTCTATGTGACAGATAGACGGAGATAATTGATAAAGTACAGACAAAGATGATTAATAAAGTGTGAAATAGATATGCGATAAACTATGTGACAAACATACGAATATAATTGACAAAGTGCAAAACAATTATATGATAAACTAGGCGAAAGACAGGCGATGATAATTGATAAATTGCTAAACAATTATGCGATAAATTAAACGACAGATAGGCGAAGATAATTGATAAAGTGCAAAGCAATTATACTATAAACTATGCAACAGACATACGAAGATAATTGATGCGAAAAGCTATGCGGCAGACCAAAGATAATTGTTAAAGTGCGAAATAGTTATAAGATAAACTATGCGACAAACAAGGAAACATAATTGATAAAGTGCGAAACAATTACGCGATAAAATATGTGGCAGATATGCGAAGATAATTAATGAGAAAAACTATGCGGCAGACAGACGAATATAATTGATAGACTGCAAAAACATTATGCGAAAAGCTATGCGACAGACAGACGAAGATAATTGATAAAGTCGAAATATTTATGCGAAAAGATATACAATGGACAGACAAAAATAAATGATAATGTGCGGAATACGTCATGCGACAAACAGACGAAGATAATTGATAAAGTGCGAAATAGTTATGTAAAGCCCCGATCATTATTATAATATTAAGACGATTTCACTGCTCGACTTTTAATTGAAATTCGTAATTTTTAGAAATTCAAGATTTATTTAATTTATATGCTAAATGCTCAATTATGTTAGATTATTCTTTAGAATCCTCTAAGTCATGTTAAGATCAAGATCGATCCATTAATTTGGGTTGATAAGTGTAATTTAGTTGGCTCGAGAATTTTAGTCTCGGACCCTAATCTCGATCCGAATAAATTTTAAAGTCATTTCTGAGTATTGTTCGCAAGTCATTGCCAAGTCGTACTAGTATAATACTTAGAATAATTCTAAGTTTTCAAAAACTCCAAATTCAAGCCTTCGACCCCGGGCCACACCATAGTCGTGCGCATAGAACCAAGAAAGATTAAAGTAGTTCGGGACTAGTCAACCCCGAGAAATGCCACTGAGGTTTGGGGTTTCCTCGGACTAGCTAGCAAATATAGAAGATTCATCGAGGGGTTTTCCAAGTTTGCCCTGCCCTAGTCTCGATTGACAAGGAAGTCTATGAAGTTTGAATGGTGCAGTCGTTGTGAGTCGAGCTTTCAAAAGCTCAAAGCAAGTCTTACGACGACGCCCGTGTTATTCTGAATGCTAGACAGGGTTTCACTATTTATAGTGGTGCCACAAAACATGATGCGAAGTTGAGTTTCAGCTTCACATATCACCCATAGACCGACGGCCAGTCGGAAGGGACCATCCAGACGCTCGAGGACATGTTCGAGCTTGTGTCCTAGAACAAAGTAGGTCGTGGGAAAAGTTGTTACCCATTGTGAAGTTCGCCTACACTCGCAGCCATCACTCGTCGATCAAAATGACATCGTACGAAGTTTTGTACGGGTGCAAGTGCGCTCAACCACTATTGGGATGAAGTCGGCAAGAATCATATTCTCGGTCCCAAGTAGATCGAGGACACAGTGCAGAAGGTCGCCAAGATTCGAGTGAGGCTGAGAGAGGCGCAGAGTAGACAGGAAACCTACGTTAACAAGCATAGAAAGGAGCTTATGTTCACGAGAAGGAGTTAAGTTATTCCTTAAAGTCACGCCAATGAAGGACGTTGTACGTAAGGGAGAAGGGAAATTCCAGCCCCGTTTTGTAGGGCCTTTTAACGTTCTCGAGCAAGTTGGCATAATAGCCTATCGTCTGGAGTTGCCCCAGAACCCTTGGTGTGCATAACGTCATCCCCGTCATGATGTTGTAAAGTACGTGTACGACCCGAGTCATACCGTGAACTTTGGCAAGTAAGAATGTCAGGCAGAACCTGACATATGATGAGACCAGTAGCAGTCCTGGATCGAAAGGTTCGGCGACTAAGAAACAAAGATATAGAGCTCGTCAAAGTCTACTGGAGTCGCCACGACGAGACGGAAGCCACTTGAGCGAGAGAGGCAGAAATCAGAGCTAGACATTCATATCAGTTATTTCAGAGAGATGCATGTAAGAAAAGTTAGGACCTAGACGGTTGAGTATCTCCCGTCCTTGGTCGAGTTGTCATGACCCGGATTAGTGGAAGTTGTTTCCACTCTAGCTCATACAAGTGTATACCCAGATGGGTTAGGTATACAGAAATTTAAGTTTTGCCCAAGGGCAACGACCTCTAAGTGGGTCCCCACAGTTATTTATCGCCTGAGTTGAAAAGCCAATGCCCTCCTCAACGTCCGAGGTGGCTAAGGCCACCCAGAGTGTGCACATGATTATCCGGTCAAGACCGGACATTGTAGTGCCATATTCAAGATCAGTTATGTTAGCCAGAAATCCAGAGTTTTGGCTTTGAGGCATTCAGTTGTACTTGTGTACATCTATTTTGCACATTTGTGCATAGTGTTAGTATGAGTTCTGACTTAGTAACGTAGTACCCTAGTTCTGTTTTTCCGAGGACGGAAATATTTTAAGGAAGATAGGTTGTAACGCCCCAATTATTATTATAATACTAAGACAATTTCACTGCTCGACTTTTAAGTGAAATTTGTAATTTTCAGAAATTCAAGATTTATTTATTTTATATGCTAAATGCTCTATTATGTTAGATTATTCTTTAGAATTTTCTAAGTCATGTTAAGATCAAGATCGATCCATTAATTTGGGTTAATAAGTGTAATTTAGTTGACTCGAGAACTTTAGCCTCGGACCCTAATCTTGATCCGAATAAATTTCCAAGTCATTTCCGAGTATTGTTCGCAAGTCATTGCCAAGTCATAGTAGTATAATACTTAGAATAATTCTAAGTATTCAAAAACTCCAAATTGAAGTCTTAGACCCCGGGCTGCACCGTAGCCGTGCGCGTGACTTGGTCGCGCACCCGAGGCTCGAACCCATGCCATGGCCTTACCCAAGACTTGTCTAAGCCTTAGTATATTATTGGTATATTTTTCTAAGTCCAAAATATCACCAAAAACGAGCAAAAACACCAGCCCAAGTCATTCACGCGCGCAGCCCGTAGGCCACGCGCAACAGGCCCTGTCCACG